TAGGGATCCTTAGGTGAATAGCTAGTACAGAAACTGTTTCTGGGTTAATAGTTCAACAGGTGTGGGGTTTTATTTCTGGTTTTATGTGTAGTGAAAAATACAGTGAGGCATCCTTCATGGTAGCCACGCTGCTGTAGGCAAAACCTGGTAGGCGGACTTTTTTTTTTGTCTGCAGGCAATAAAAGTCTGTCGTAATCAGCTTCCCCAGTCAGTGCCAGAACCATTTTTAAAAGTGGTGTTTAAGTGTTTGTGAGCCTTGTACTTAGTCTTCATAAGGTGCCCTTAGGATAATATGAGTGGTGTCTGTAAGTAGTATTTTGCTGTCTGACATAGCCGTTGCCTTTTCTCATCTGCAGGTGTGTGTTGTTTCAGCGCAGCATGGCTGTGGTCATCCGCTTGCAAGGTCTCCCGATTGTGGTGGGGACCATGGACTTGTCTGGATTGACCATTTCTGATGGGGATGTACATATTGTAGGGGGTCAACTGGGTGAGGCTTTCATCGTTTTACCACTGATGAAGATGCGAGGCTTGGTATCATGTGTGTAGATAGTATAAGGTCAAAACCAGCTCTCGGAGAGCAATAAAAACCTTATGTGCAAAATGTGATTGGACTTAATCCATGGCAGCTTCAGAATGGGCATGTAGATACGCTGGCGGTTTCGGAACACTGTCTGGTGCTGGAGTGAATGACAGAGTGAGGTTAGGCTTTGTGGAATTGACTGTAAACCTGTTTTGGCATAGAAACTGCTTGTATTGCTAAGGAAATGGAACAAGGTTGTGTCTTCTTGCTTGTGTAGGAACTGCATTTCAAGTCTTGGGGCTGCCTTTAGTATTCCAGTTCAGTTACACGTGTGCTGCACCTCCAGTGAACACAGGACAATCTCTTGCTAGTTCCTTTTACTGCCTGGTTTTGCCAGGGCTTTTTATTAACCCACTACCTGTCCTTCCTGCCATGTAGTCCTACGGAATCACCAGTGATGTAGAATGCCTCATAGGAATTGGGCAGCAAGCTTACCATCCAGAATGACACTTAGTACTACTTTGCACTGAAAATTTATATTTACACAAACTGTCAAAGTTTACTGTGTTCCTTTATCAAGCCAGAGCACTCTGTTTTTTCATGGAGTTCCTCTCTTTTTTCCTCTGTTGTGCCCTGATGGGGAGGAAAATCCCTGGGTTTGGCACATATGCACTAAAGAATGAAGGAGATGATAAGCTGAATTGTGGGACTGACCTGCCTTTTGTCTGAGCTGTTCATGAAGTACTGAATTGAGATGGTACTAAGTGTGGAAGTGGGACTGATTTGAAGGCAGGGTTTTGGCGTGATGGTAGATGGAATGGTTTAATCATACTAGCGATTCTGAAAAGAGTGTTTGCGAAGGTAGGTAAGGTTTTGAAAAAGGCTGCAGTGATTCTGCAGTTTCCAGAGATAAAACAATGAGGCTGTTATTAGTGAAAGAGAGAGGTTGCTGAAACTACTATATGACACTATGAAAGATTTCTCCAGACGAACCCTCTTCTGTTGGAACTTAGCGATGTGCCAGGTTTGGGGCTCAGCACTGATAACTTAAAACTGAAGAGAATAAGAACAACTACAGGTGTGGGCATACAGGACCTGCAGTGCTAGCAGAGCAGAAAGCTTGTTTTAAAAGACAATAGTCATGATCCATGAAGGGATCAATATTAATGTAAGTGTATTCTCCTCTGCATTGTCGTGATCTAAGTGTGCCATCCTGATTGGTATGTGTAAGTATTTGAATAGTTGAATAGTCTTTAAAAGCTAAATTACCTCGCGGTGACTTTTGTGGAAAAGAAAAGGCTTTTCCTTTTAAACAACAGAAATGTGTACTTTCAGTGATGTAGATTTAGAAATATTTTATTTTGGAAGTTGAGACTTGTCTAAGTTCTGGAGTATTTGTTCCTGAAACAGGTCTAATAGGAAGTTTGAGATAAAAGCCATCCAGCTTTGGGGGTAGGCCTGGTAACTACCCCTTGTGTTGATTGTGGATTCACAGAGTTACTAAAGTGAAAAGCCTGCTTGTGTTTTGGTGTAGTTACTAAGTAACTACAAATTCATTTGCTGATGAAAATTTTAGAAGATGTGGTCTGGTGAAGTACTATTTCCAAGTTGTAGCTATGACTCTGTCTGAGTAGTCTGGGGTTGTTTGTTAACAATCTGTTTTGATGTAGGTCCGGATTTTTAAGTAGTCCTTGCAGGAGAGGACAGAAGCTGAAACATAGTATCTTATAGGCAAGCCCCTGTGTTCAGTGCTTGCTTTCTGAGGAATGAAGTTCTCCATATAGGCAAGGTCATGCCAGTGAAACGTGGATGGGCTTCAGTGTTACCAGTTGGCCTTGTTTGTGAAGAGTGGGGTGGTGGCTCCCAGTTAAGGTCATGTTGTAGGGTTTCAGCCTTGTTCTAAGGCTGTATGTTTCAGGGTAAAATTGTTGAGATCCTCCGTTTTATTTTCTGTAATGTTCTACCAAGTATGTGTCAGCTTGAGGAGGCTGCTCCTGAAATTAGCTGCAGATGAAGACGGCCTGCTTTGCAGGGCATGCCAAGTGTAGGGACTGCTGGATCAAGGTAAATCCAGTAGTGGGATGTGGATGGAACACAAAGCAGCACAAGTTTCATAACTCGGGAGGGGAGAGGAAGGAAGAGTTTGAGGGAGGGGGCAGTGACAGGCGATTTTTGCCCATACAGTGTCTCCTCTCTTTCAGCTTTCTGATCAGCTGCCTTGTAACAAGCTTGAGTTAGCGAGGTGCAGTACGTGTGTGCTCTGACAAATGCTGGTGTTCAGCTGACTCTAGCTGTAACGTGGACAAAGTTCAGATTTTTGGCAGAATCTGCAGCCTCTGTAAATATGCTTAAATGGCTTCTGCTGTTTTTTTCAAATTTCCCTGTAGTTGTGATAGTAACATTTTTTTAAAATGTTTGACTGAAACTATAGTAAGGCCTTTCTCAGACAATTGGTGTTTATTTGTAGAAGCCCTATCCTGTTACTGAAGTTACTGAAGTAGGTGAGCTGAAATTACTCCCGTTCTTCAGGATTGGAGCTATTACTGAAGGGGACCACTGCAAAGAGCTTCAATAATGTACTTCCAGGAGTATGTTGTCTTTGCATGTCTCTACTTAGTGAAAAGGATAAATAAATTTTCTAGGACAAGAGTCATCTTGCAGCTGTAATTACTCCTACAAGTGATAAGCAAAATGTGTGTCTGCTCCACATTTGGAGGCATGGAATTCTATTGCTAGTGCGAGAAAGTGTTACTTTAAGGATGTAAATATGCAGAGAAAATGGTGGATGTTTGAGGCGTGGTTGGATAAACTGTTTAAAAATGAAAACGTAGCTTTGCACTTGCTTCTTGGGTTTCCAGCTTTTTTTTTTTTAATTTGTTATTGTCTATTTTTCATCAGAACATAAAACCCCAACCATCCTAACTTCTCCTTAATTTCTTCCCCTTCACCTTTCCCAATTAAAAGTTATGGAGGTGGTAGGTGAACCTCCCCTGCCCCAACCTCTAGCCCCATTAGAAGACAGTCATTCCTGGGCTGATTCAGGTCTGTGCTGGGCAAACTCAAAATGTGTTATCAGATACTCTAGAAAAGTAACTTGCAGTGTTTCTCAGTTCCTAGGTGGCTAAAATACTTTTTCTTTTGGTGTGAATCACTGTGTTGTGAATTGAGCTTACAGGCAGTAGCATTTTTTTTCCCCCCATTCTGTTGCAGGCTGCTTTAACAGTAGTGAAGATAAGTCTAAAAGCAGTGCTTTAGAGGAAAACAGCAGATCATCTTCTGGTATAGAAGCGTCTTGGGAAGGTGGTTATGATAGTTGAGGTGGTGGGGATGCTTCCATGGCCAGCCCTTGGCAAATGGCCTGGTTTAAAAACTGTGTCAACAGAGTAGCTTTTCATTGTGATAGAAGCTTTATGACTTTCCTAAAGATCTTTGATTTCTGAACCACACTTGAACTTAGAGTAGTTATTAATAAAATAACATTTATCCTTTTGTAGATGCAGCTCAGTTGATATTGTTGCTGTTTATGCATTGTGTGAACTAAAATACTGCTGCTTATTTCTGTTGCCAGTACACATCTCCTTATTGTAGTGTGAGACCAGGGGTTTTTTAAATTTAGCTCACATCCATTTTATACATATTTAATTGAATCTTCAAGATATAGCATTACGGTAGGGAGCACAGTATTGAATAAAACTTATTCGTATTTTTAATCTTATGAGCTTGAAGACTACAGGAATGCAGCATAATTTGTATCTTATAATTGTGGGAAGTGACTGACAAAAATTTGGGAAAAATAGTTCCTGATCAGGCTTTCCACTAAAGAGTTTCCTTGAGAAGAAACTACTTTGGCAAGATTTCTTAAACCTTTGTATTATCTGTTGGAAACATGCCTTAACAAAGACTTTCTATTTTCTGGTTAAAATGATGGAGAAGTGGTAAGAAAGCAATGCAAATACGCAAGCAGTATAAACAGTTTTCTAAAATTGGTTAAAGAAACTACATATTTGTAGCGTCTTTGAAGTCCATTGCATTTGTAGTGATGAGGTGACATAGCATTACTGGGTGTTTCACTAGTGTGGTAGCTGTTGAAAGATCATTATTGTGTCTGGTTTTGCCCACTTCCTGTTTACTGGATTCCTTGTTTTCATCAAAATGGGGGTGGCGGGGAGAGAATATCGTGAAACTTCTATCTCAGTTCTGAACACACATTGGGTTGTGGAGTTCTTAATTGACCTGGAACTTAGACCAGCAGACAGAGGTTGAGTTTCAGTCTTTCATGGTCCAGTAGCTACCATTTTTAACATGTTTGCTTCTACACCCTGTCACTTGGGAACCCTGGTTTAAGAGATAATTGCCCCTGTTACTTTCTGCAAATAAAAAACATAGACGTCCCTTAACATCTAGCTTTTGGGGATTATGGTGCTTAAGCTTATTTTGTGTATGTCTTGATTAGTGATTGATATTTAATTGCATTTTTCAGGGGAATAAAATCAGCAGTGTTGATATTACAAAATGACAAAACATCCTCCGAATAGAAGAGGGATCAACTTTGAGGTGGGAGCCCAGTTGGAAGCCCGTGACAGATTAAAAAACTGGTATTTTTTTAAAACCATTCATATTATATTAACTCTAACTCTTTAATACCTTAAACATTTTGTATTGGTACAATATTTAGAGTCCTGGTCATTGATTTGTAGGAAAGTAGTTAATTTATAAAAGTTTATATACCAGTGGTTGAAATGGGCGATAGGTGCTGATATGTTGTGCTGCTCCTTAAAAAAGAAGTATACTGGTGCTATCTGTGTCTAGGAAACAGGACTGCGCATAAATCTGGTTGACTTCAGACTCCAGTATTCCAAGTTCACATTTTAAATTCTCTGCTATACACAGATTGCAGAGCAGACATTATGAAAAGATAAATCCATTGCAGTACAGAATACCCAAGGTGGTTCTTCACTACTTCCTTTCCCATTGCTGTTGTGAATTCATAGGCTTCAAAGTCTGATTGAAATTGTTATGGCCTGTGCTCATGTGAGAGTACTCAGCTTTAGAATTAAAGAACTGGGTGGGGAAACACATTCCCCACTAAGAAGTCTTGTCTGGATCCTGTCTTGCAGACTTAAGAACGCTTTTCTTGGCTAGCCACTACAGTAGGAAGGGGAAAGGGGGCCTAAAAGTTACTTGGGCTAACTTTGAGCCTTCTAAGTCTGTTTGTTTTTGGAAGTCAGCTCAAAAATTAACATTTAATAATGGTCAGTGAATGAGGCATACAATGAAAATTGCTGGAGACAAAGGCTGCTTAAATCCAGGAATTAATTGGGATTTGTTAGTTGCTTAAGATACCTTCTTTCTCCTGAAGTCTGCTATAGTTGACTTTCATTTAAGAGTCTGTGTGGGTTAGATGTGATTGTACTTCAGGCTCTGCAACCTGCTGGCAGGTTAAGTGTGTGGAAGTTGCAGTGTGGAAAGCCATCTGGACGTCCCAGTGGGATGGAGCACTACCTTCAAGACAGGGACGTTTATCCAAAACATCCTGGTTGCATGCAGAATGTTTCTCTACTTTACAGGTACAAGGGGATTGGAATTGTGAAAATGAGTAAACATAGCTGTTTATGGAAAGAACAGGAAGTATGGACATTAAATCATACTTGCATGTTATGTTGGCTTTCCTGTGTATCTGAGAGTTGCATAGGTAGGACTTCTGATCTGAATCTGCATGCATCTTTTGTATTCTTGAGCTTTGTTTATATGGGAAGAAGATGGTCACGCCTACAAAAATGAGATTTCTTAGCCTGTCTGTAATGTAGGCTTATTAAAGATGCAGTTTAGTATAGACCGTGTTGGAGTAGGGCTAATGTGTCCATGGCTATTATAATTCTTACGTGTTTGGCTAAGAGTGTCTCAAAGTATGGGAGTACACAGCTCTTAAATGGGAAAACTTGGGGGGTGGAATTCAACACCTGCTGTACTTTACACGTGTCCCTTGGCTTAAATTTGAATTTTAGATATACTGCATGTGCAAAACCAAGCCATGTTGTTTGGTTTTTAAAAAATGCTTGATCTTAAATGACTAGTCCTATCCACAGTCTTTTGCAGCTCTTTGATCTTGCAACTTAGTTATTAACTCTCCAGGTTGGAAAGTTTTCTTTTGCTTGCTAAGCTTTTGGAACCTGGGTCAGAAAGTCCATGTTTTCTTGACTGGTGACCTCCACGTACTTCTGTTTTCAGGGTTTGTAAGAGTCAAGGGCTTATTTTCTCTTAGCAATATCAATGGTGACAGGCTGGCAGATCTTCCCTGGGTGTGGATTTGCAGAGGACAGCAGACTTCTTTTTTCCCCTGCTACTTTCAGCTGCTGTGTGAACAGGACCACTCTGGTGTGGTTACAATGCACTGCTTTTGTGTGGATACAAAACTTTTAATTTGCTGGTACTTGGTTTTTTTTAGTGCTAGACCTTCAGAGGACCAGACTTTTCTTATGTGTGCTTTTGTTGCTATGTTGGCGCTTAAACATAGGCAGAAGTCTCTTGTTTGACCAGAGGGCTGGATTTGATTTCTGTGCTTGGGACCAAACACACCAGTCAATTCGTGGGCCAGTATTGCTTCTCAAATGGCAGTAGTGCTTTGGAAAGCATTTCATCTCAGAGCCCCATTTACCTGCCTTTCATGGCAGTGGCTTGTGCCGTGAAACCCTGGTTCAGGACTTTCAGGGTGTTTGGATGTGATACCAACCCTACTGAAGAGGAAGAATGTTTGTGTATGCCAGCAGAGTAGTCAGTGCAGAGTCTGTTCCTTGCCGAAGTATGAAGTTTAATTTTGCATCTTTCAGAGCTCTTACCAAAGGTTGCTTTGTTGTATCTGGAATCGTAATGTATTGGAAGTGCACTTCAATTCCTGTTACAGTTGTCTTTCATCTCCTAGGCTCAAACTCCAGGGAGTACAGTGAGTACTTTTAGCACTTGGCTTATTTCTTAGGGCTTAGTTGATGGATCAAAGCTGTCATGAAAGGCTTGTGACAGTGTCTGTTGACCTCAGGACACTAAAGAGGGAGGGCTCTGACCATCAGGAGGTGCCTCTGTGCATGCTGAAGGGTCTCTTGGTACAGGCTGCTTTAGTTCAGAGAATGGAGTGGTGGGACTGCTCCAGTAGTGCAGTTCTAACTGGAGAGATCCCAGCGAGGCTGGCTGTAACAACGTACATGTACATGCTGTTCTGGCGGAATTGACTTCTTGAAACTTTTTGCATTGGATCGCTTAAACCCTTCAGTGCTGGCTGTCTGCAGGCATCCTCTCACTGAAAAGAGGATGACTGTGTACTAGACGCCTGCAGTAGGCAAACGATGGCACCTCTTTTGTTACCTTATTACAACGCTTTCAAGTTCTGTCTGTTGTGCAAGTAAAATGGATATGAAGAGACTTGATTCTGGTTGAGGCTCTTGAGTATTGGAGAAGAGTACTTGATGGGAGTATCTTGAGTACAAGATTAGTATTGTTAAGAGTATTGTGTCGGTCCCATGAGTTTAATTGCTTATGCTGTCAGGACCTTGTCTCAGTACTGAAAAGATGAAACCCTCCCTGTAGCTGTTGTCCTTCATAGTCCTGTTTCTTCCAAATGTTTCCTTTCCTCTCAGCATTGCTTTGACTGCAGTAAGTGTATCCCTTCCTAGCTCTGAGAAGGAGGGGGTTTAAGGCAATTCTGTTGTGGTATATAGGAAAGGAGACGGGAGACAAACTAGTTGAGGACTGAGAGATAGGAACTCCTTCAGTCAGCACCTTGATTCTGAATTTCCAGATATTTACCTCTTCACAGAAAAGGGTGGTTTTACACTTGTGTCTATCATCAGCCCATTTTCATATTGTTTTGCTGTGCTCTGACAGCCGTAGTCTGACATTGCCAATTATTGCTAACCCCCATCTGCTGAGAGTTATGCTGTTGGAGTGTTTGGTTATCACTTGGGTTCTTATCAAAACTAATGCCAGCAGTTTGGGCATCTTGGAGGTTTCCCTTACTGTTTAGCAAGTGCATAAGGGCTTGAAAAGTACAAGCTCATAATTCCTTTTGAATTGAGCTTGAAAACTATTTGTTTTGGCCTCCCAGTATATTGCAAGAAGTTCTGTCTGATTTCAGCTTTTTTTTTTTTTGCAGTATATTAGATAAAGATTCAGATCAGTACCAGTTGGGGATTTCTTACCCAGGATAATTAGCTGTCTTGAAGACCCATGGAGTCAGCTAAATGCTTCCTTTGTGGTTTGGGGGAGGATGTGTTGGACCATCCCTGGACACATGCCAGTTGTGCTCTTTTTTTCAGGCTTTAGCTTCAGCTGTTGGCTTTTCACTTTGTGTATCCTCCCGTAGTATTTTTTTCTTGCTTAAAAAAAATCACATGGTTTGTGATGTCATGCTGATGTGGCATGCTTGCTCAGTGCTTTGAAGGCTGGGGAACAAGTGTTGGAGGAAGGAAGCATGCACTGTCGGTGTGTGGTGCTCAGAGCTGGTGAGAACCTAGGAACCTTTCCAAGTTGCCAGCGCAGTGTTTTGCATCTGAAAGGAAGGTGGCATCAGGGAAGGGGCTGTCAAAGTTTCTGGACAGATCGAGCACAGCTTCTAATAGGTTTACTGTTCCAATCAAGAGCACTGGACATATGTTTACTGATGTTGGTTGCTTCAGAAGAAGATTTGTTCAGACTTTGCAGCATGTTTTCCAGGAGATGGCTGAGAGCTCCAGTTCACCCACACTGGCTTTCAGCCAGGTGAAATTTGGTCTCATTGTCAGGTATGTTTTTGCTGTTATTAATGATAAATCAGCATGTCTCCCCCTATCAGAGCGTCTTTGGAAAGTGAGGTGGGTAGGTGCGGGTGATCATGGTGCGTGGTTCTGGGCTGATTCTTCTGGTGGAGAAGGCTCCTCCTTTTACTGGGTAAAGGGAACGGTCTTGCATCATGGAGTTGGTTCTTGTTGCTTGGGCTTGTCGCTCCCAGTGGGAGAAGGTGACTGGATTGTGTTTACCAGGGGTGGTTAGCTGCAGGGACTGGATTGCTAGCTCAATGTTGAGCCAGTACTCCGTCATTTTTGTCAACTTAACTTCTCTCTTGATCTTTGAGAATCTGGACAAGCCCTAGGCCTGTTGCAGTCCTGATGGCAAAAGTGTCCTTCTGGCTAGTCTCTTGTTGAGAGGACCTGGGAATTCCTGCCCCTGTTTTTCCTGTGCTTTGCAGGGAACTGGATACTGATTTTTGTCATTACCTGTGCTTAGTGATAGGCAGTTGCTGAGATACCTAAGAATAAACTACGTTGAATAGAACTATGTTGTTAAGTGTGGAAAGACTGAATATTCCCCCCTCATGAACCTGTGTGGGACAGTGCTTGGGATTACCTGAAGATGAAATCTGTTGACTGTCACATGAAGGAAATTACTTCCTTCCTAGGAAGCTGGTAACCAGTTAGAGATGCCCATGCCATATGTGTCTCCCATTTGTCTTCCTCTCCTCTACAGCCTTTGCTGCGTATGTTGTGGTAATATACTGGGATGAACTAATGGCACAGCTTGAGGTGTGTGGCATCGAGTGTTAGGCAGGGCCTTAGTCTTTGTAGCTCTTTTTGAACAAGTCATGACTGGTTGTGTCTCAGATCTGCTAAAAAATTTCATCTGTAGGTAGCTTTTATTTTAATCTGTGTAGGACTGCAAAATGGTACTCTGTTTTTGCAGTGAAGTCTTTATTCTGACGTGTCTAGATTTTATTTTTAACAACAGGCTTGATCCTTTCAAGATGCCATTTCTTTCTACCACTTGTTCTATCTTTTTAAGTGTGATTTATCAGGTAAAGAATACTTGTGGATTTGTGTGGTGGGGTTTTGTTTTTTTTTTTTCTTTTCTTTTTTTTCTTCTTCGTCCCTTTGTTCAAGAACTCAGTGACCTTTCTTCCACAAGTAATTGAAAAGAAGTGAAGATTTTCTCCTGGCACTGTTATTGTGGAGGGGAAAACATCAATTCTTGGAATGTTATCTTCAGTTGGGATAGCAAAATATGCTGTGATTCTGAAATACTCACTGAAGTTACAAATTACCAATGCAATTAAAGAAATTCATAGTTTATAAGGTCTTCCTGATAAGAAACACCTGGATTTGACTCTTCTCAGATTCCTGTACTTCTAATGTACTGAGATATTTTTATTTGAAAGTCCCCGGCCTTTGCAGATGAAATTTAACTTTGAGAATCTAGAATGTAGATGAGGTTTAGCATGCCTGGTGGACTTTTGCTGTTACACTGGGAAGATGATTGATGATACCTGTTGATGGATATCTCTGAGAGGAGTGAGTGTATTGACCTCCAGGTATTAATCCTGGTAAGAGGGAGCTGAAGCTATCATTTTTGGGTATATGTGAAATTTCTACGTATAGGGAAGATTTTTCTGACTTCGTCTCTAGTTACATTCTTTTTCCACGCCAAACTAAGAACTCCTTAGCTGTCTCCTCTCTCTGCAGCCAGTGCTTGCTTTTGCCATTCATGTTTGGGATTTGTCCTATGCTGAGCTTTTAGTCATTTTGTAACATCTTTATTGCTTGTACAAGTGATACATCAAGTAATATTAAGATTGTAGAAACTTAAGTGTTCTTAGGTGTAGTAATCTGGCTCCTCATCACACCCAAACAAGCAGATCTTCAGATATTCTGCTTTTGATCATGCAGCAGGCCCCATTTGTGTAATATTTTGTACTGTAGTTAAGTGTCTGAGACAGCTTACCTTACTCTTATTTGAAATATTTTAATCTACCTTTTGACCAGGTATCCAGCTCACATTGAAGAAATTGATTATGAAGAAGGAAAAGTACTTATCCATTTCAAACGCTGGAACCACAGATATGATGAATGGTTTTGTTGGGACAGTCCTTATTTGCGTCCCTTAGAGAAGATACAGTTAAGAAAAGAAGGATTACATGAGGAAGAAGGCTGTGCAGTAAGTAGAAAATAGAGGACATTTGAGTATGTGACAGTTCAATGTGCAGTTATATGAATGAATACCATTAAAGTGCTTTACTGTTGTTGTGTTGCCTTCTGTATAAGTTTTATTATTTATTTTAAATATAGGAAAACTAATACTTTTAATGAAGTTGTATTTTTCAGTAATTCTCAGATTAAAACACTTTTAACTACTGTCTTGTAGGGATTTCATATAAATGACCAGGTATTGGCATGTTGGTCTGACTGTCGCTTCTATCCAGCCAGAGTTACTTCTGTTAACAAAGACGGTAAGGAGTCACTTTCGGTTTTGTCATGCTTGTTAGTAATGCATCTCTGATTGTACTCTAACCTTTTTGCTTCAGTGGAGAGAGAATACAGCAGACAGAAAACAACAGTGAAAAGTTCTATTTTCAATTATATTTTTTAGTCTGCCATCAACTTTTTAACCTAACCTCTTAGTCTTTTTGTGAGATAAAATAATTTTCTGCTGGGATATCCAGTCAGTAATTGCTGTAAGTATGTGTTTGGGAAAACTTGTTTCTTCTTAAGTTTATTGTCAAGAGATGCATGCAACTGCAGTAAAACTAGTGTCACAGCTGCAAAAACCCTTTACAAATAGGGAGGGTAGGCGGCAAGCACAGCCATGCTTCTCCTGTTTGAATATTAGTAACCGACCGTGAAGGACTTGTTCTTGTGCTGTGCTTTATTTAGATTGACTGTATGTTGTAAGATGAAGGAGAAAAACTGTGTTCCAATATCTGTTGGAATATTCTACCAAAAATATTTTGGGGTTTTGTGAGAAAAATATATCTAAAGGAGCAACTCCCTTCTTAAACATGCACCTTTATGCTTAGTGTAATTATTTTTTTGTAACTTCACTGTTTCTCCCTTACCTGGCCTGTGATAAGACCTCTCCTGTTGAAGTTTCTAACAGTGCAGATAAGGCAGCTTTTATCTAGAGCTCAGTATGCAGCTAGAGTATTGGAGCTGTTAGCGGATGCTTGTTCTGTTAAGTGACTTCTGATCGTTAAACTCTGATGCTTTACTTTCAAATTTTAGGTACATACACTGTGAAGTTTTATGATGGTGTAGTTCAGACAGTCAAAAACATTCATGTCAAAGCTTTTTCCAAAGACCAGGTAAGTGTTGTTTGTGCTGCTGTTCTAAAATTAACAGCTCAGGTGGCTAGATTTGATGAATTTTAAAATATGAAATGAATGAAACATCGCTGTTGCTAACATACAATGCACATGAAATAAAAACTGTTAAAATGAAAAGGTTGTGCAGATCTTCATGGTGTGATTTGCAAAGCTCTCAGGCTCACATTCCCCTGAATGCACTTCTTGAACTAAAGTGATAGACACATAAGTAAAAATTTTCTAGAAATCATTGGAAGATTCAGATTGTGCATACTAAAGCTAGTGGTAGTCTATTGAAACACACTTTGGCTGTTTCACCTGTTTGGGATTAGTTTATATACATGCATCTTTAAGGGGTGGGAAATACGGAGTGGACAGAGACTGTTCTTTTCCAGAATAACTACTTGACTGTCTTGAGACTTTTAAGGAAGCTGTCTAGTAATCTTTCACCTCACAACTCGCACTAACGTAGCAGCGTGCTGGCAGTGGAAGGAAAGTGTCTTATTCTTGTTCATCAGTAGGAGAGACTGTAGCCATGAAGACACACATGGCTCATATCTTAGCTGTTCTTAAAAAACCAACAAAACAACAAAAACCAAACCCGCCTGATTTCTGAAGGGAGCAATATGAGCTGGTTGTATTGTCTTTAATGACTGTTACTCTCTCCCTATGTAGAGGGTGTAACATGCTATATTGAACAGTGATGGTAAAATGCTAGTGACTTGCACAGTGTGAATGTACTTATGCCAGGACACAGCTTTTAGTTGTTCAATGACATCAAGAAGTAATTCAGACATACTATATCTATGGTTCAGTTTCCTGAGAATAATTTGATGGTTCATGTGTGTTCAGTACCACATACTTGATTCAAATTGGATGGTTCTATGAGCAGCACAGCTGATGAAACTTAATGTCTCTGGGTTGTTTTTTTTGAGGTTTTTTTACTCATGTTTCAGTTTCCACTGGAGCTTTTTCTGTAGCTGTGGCTTTTAAGGAATTTACAGAAGACAGATTTTTTTATTATATCTGGTAAAAGTGGTGCTCAGACACCTAAGAAGGTGAAATACTTTTTTCCCCTTTGCCTAGCTGTTTTCTTGGAATATACAGCAATTTGATCTCGTGTTTTTAAAAGGTGGGGTTTTTTTAATCACCTCCGTGCCAGGTATGGTTGAAATAATGTCATAGAGGGTAGAGCAGATTGCACATTCACTACTTTATTGCATCAAGATTACTCCTTAGGACTGTGGTCTGATAATGGCAATCATAAAAGATACCAGTTCATGTAAGCCACATACAGACAGGAAGATTGGGGTGGGAAGAGGCAAGATGTAGTGTGGTAGGATGAGATAGCGAGTCTTAACTGTGTTCTCAGAATTTTATATAACTCAAATCAGATGTTCTGCTTTCTTTCCCCAAAGAGGTATTAAGAGGTATTTAGTCTTTCTCGTCCTCTGATCCTTGTTCAAAGTTAAAGCTCGTGCCTTGCAGAACTATGGCTGGAAAGCAGTATGGTTGCTTTTTAATGCTTCAGGTTATTAGGCAATAGGAAGAGGGAAGTTAGTTCAATTAAAGGCAGTGCTGAGACACAACCGAATGTAAATTATGAATCCAGGTGTAAAGTTAGAAGGTTTCTGTCCATCAGAGCAGAGTTCTGGGACAGTCTGTAGCAGGATCATTGGAAGGGGAAAAAAACTGAAGTTAGCATCCGCCCCCAGGTGGTGTTAATACGAAACCTGATCATGAAATGGAAGGGACATTGAGTAGCAGCGACCTGTTGATACGGGGGTGTTCTTCCTTGTTTGGTGTTAGAACCTGGGGAAATGAGATTACAGTTGAATATTGTATCAGCAGCTTGCTGGCCAGGGCCTGTTAAGGATTTTCATGTCTCACGCTGAACAGAAATTACAGAAAGACAAAGTTTAAAGTTTTGTTTTTAAATTTGGGTAAATTTTAACATCATGTGGTCCCTGATGAAGTTGGTGATTGCAGTTGCTTTATGTGACTCTTTACTTGGCACGTTTCATAACCAGTGATAAGTACAAGCTAAACACTGGTTCAAAATGAGACACTTTTGTGAAAATAAGACAGTTTTTGCATCCAAGTGATTGAGTTACTTGCCCTTTTCTGTGCTCTTGACTCCCATTCTTTCTTCAGTGTCCTAAGTAGGCTTTAAGTAGTACTGTGCAAGCTAGTATGGACTTAACCTCCACGTGAGAATGAAGAAACAGGAAATCTGTTATGCCGTTGAGTTGTGAAAAGAATAAATCTGTTGCACTGTCCTGATGAAGCTGCATGAGTCCTTAATTCAAGTGCCTCTGAGTTTTAGTCTGTGGGCTGCAACAGAGTATATGCTTTTATCCTTTGAAAAAAATGGACAAGGATTCAAGTCTGCTACGTACAAAGGCGGGGAGGACTTTCAGATCACAGTAAGTTAATTTTCATGTGTCATTCTCTTTATTCTAGAATATTGTGGGTAATGGTAAGCCGAAGGAAAAAGGTAATGAAATTCTGTCATCTCCTGAAAAGCGGGAGAAATTTAAAGAACAGAGGAAAGCAACAGGTAATGCAAAGAAAGACAAGGATGAAAAGACATTGAAGACTGAGAAGAGAGTTAAGCAACCTGATAAAGAAGGAAAATTGATAGGCATCTCAGAAAAAGGCAAGGTCTCAGAAAAGAATATATCTAAGAATGGAAAAGAAGATAAAGAGAATATATCAGAGAATGATATGGAATATTCAGTAGATACACAAATTGAGAAGAAGCCTGAGAATGACAATGTAAAGAGTCCACAGGAAAACACAAAAGAAACTAAACGAAAACGTGGAAGACCGCCGATAACACCTCCAACCGGTATGTAGCTAAACTTAAACGTTTATGCCATATATCAGAACCCTTGTAAACTTAACCTAAAGGAAGGAGAAGCATCTTGCTCTTTCACAGCCTAGGTTTCTAGAAAGTTCTAAAACATTTTAAACTCATCTTCATTCAGGCTTGGTTAGGACAGCTGAGAGCATACTTGTTAGTCATATTTGGGGCTTCAGTGGTTTGGTCAGAGATTAGATTTAGGCAAGTAATCTTCATATATTACAAAACACGTTTGCAGTAGGATTAATTACTAATATGTAGACTTTAGAATGCCAGGTGAAACCGCATTTATGCGAGTCCCATGTTTTAAGTTATGAGGCTTGGGAATGTATGTTTTTAAGAATTTTGCAGCTTCATATATAGTCAATTTTTGTTCTCTATCTGAATATGTAGAGCCAAGTTCTCAGACGCTGCAGCCCATAACTTTGGAGTTAAGACATCGGAAGATACCTAAAGGAGGCGAAGTTCCATCAAAGCGTCCCAGGATTGAAAAAAACTTGTGTGAGTATCTTTTGGTATTCAACTCTCACAGTATTTGTACATATAAGTTCTTGAAGCTTAAGTGAAAGGGGGGGAAAAAGGCCTGTAGTATTAACCTTGAACTGTGATATGTGAAATGGCTGAACTTCAGCACCTGTTTTTCTTAAATTGGCCATTCATTGGTAGTGTTGTCATGCTGAAATTCCCTCCTCAATCTTGGAAGCTGGATTTAGATAAAGGAACCGCAAGCTGTGAGTCTTGATGCAGAAGTTCATAGACATAGGGGAGCCAGTGATTATGTTGCCTCTAATATGTAGAAGGTTATAAACCCCTTTTTCTAGTTATAGAAACAAGTTTACTAGATGGAGGATCTACAACATTGCTTAGCAAAGAAACTTTAATACTAGATAAGTATTCATGTCACTGCTTCTACTTCATCTTGGTATACTGTGTAGTGATGTTGAAGATTTTGAGTGTGCTGATGAAGAAAGAAAATTATATTCTCTGTAGTAGTATCATGAACAAGCAGATGCAGATCTGAAGAATTTCCTTAGGACCACAACTTCTTAAAACTTCAGTGTGCATACACTGTCCAGTTTAGGGTAAAAGTTGTTTGTGTGTCTGGATTGTCTCATCTAACTTTCTGGTATTACTTATATCTGTGGGACAGTTGCTGTTTAAACCAATGTTTTTTACCAGTAGAATTCTGATCTGTGTTCTTACTTCAAATCTGTTACTAAGAGTTGAGACGCATGTAAGATAGGCTTTTGCTCTATTTTCATGCTTATTTATAACTGTTCATGTGATTGTAGCTTTTACAGAGAGGTCTAGTCACCAGGGCTGTTTAGCTTTTGCTATTAGCCTTGGTCCTTAAAAAACACACTTCCAAACTGTTTGTGGAGGGGGAGGTCTTTAAAGTTTGCTTGTGAACTGTTCAGTAATCCTGGAACTGCATGGTACCATTAAATTTCTCTCTTCTAGCTCAGGAAAAATCGAAGAACTCTTCAGATAAACCTGAAAGAGACCAGATCAGGAGACGATCTTCAAGACTCTCATCTAGTACTAGCCATGAGATTTTAAATACTGATCATGTCACAGCTTCAACAGAAATTCAGCCTTTGCACAACGCAGTCTCTAACCAAAAGGAATCTGAGAAGGGTGAGCAGTTTCCTGGTATACTCTGGATTTATGGTGGCATGGTAGTCATCTAGTTCTTGCAAGCACTATAGTTTTACTTGCATAACCTGCAGGCTCTATATCTGCAATTAAAACCTGATATTTCATTAGCAATGCAGAGAAAACTCGTGTAAAGTTTATATCTCTCTCTGCTGCCTTGATTGCCTTTTGCGTTTGATTTCCTCTCGGTCAGTAACTGTAGCATTCTGTTGCATGGTGGGAGCTTTTCCAGTAGAGGGATAACTGGCTGGGATAACTGACCTTGCAAAAGGAGACCTCCGTAGGTTGTAGAATAACCTCAGGGAAATGTTGTGGTTTGGGTGTGTTTCTTTTTGGTTTTTTTTTGTTTTTTTGTTTTTTTTTTAAAGCATGCAAGTTATGCTTGTGAAAACGAGGTATTTACTTTTTCCATCTAAAAGTGTCAAAATTTTGTAACTCGAATGTTAAATTTACAGTTTAATCCTGTTGTTGAACACTAAAAACACAAAACAGGATGCTTTTATTCTTAGACTGGGTGGAGATGATGCTCCCTTTTTCTTCTGTGTGCTTCATTCCCTTTCCCTTTCTGGGTGAGCTCTGATAATGGTTTGAAGAGACCTGTCCCATTTTAGGCTATAAAGAGTTAGCAGCCTGTGTGTTTCTAAGCAGCTCCAAATTTAGAGGGTTGCTACAAGTAGGTGTGTTCTAAAAACTTAATTTTGTGTTAATTCAGCAGTGAGCAGTCAGCATGGATGGATATTTTTCTCCACTGTAATGCGATGAACGACGACATCAGGCTTCTGGAATATGCTTTAGTGTGCATTTTACTCAATGAGAATCTTTTTCTCCATTCTAGTCCAGTTAGAAATTCCTGTTGAATCTGACCAAAGTTTCAGTGAACAAGGATCTCCTGGGAACACATCGCATAGCACAGCACTCAGTACAGATGCCAGTTTACAGGAGGAAAAAGTTGAAGACCCTGAGTCTTCCTCTGTTACTGTCAGAACTCAAGAACCTTCTGCTGCTACAGGTTAAAATTTTGCTTTCATATTTAATATTGATGCATATTTTAAGATGACTGATGCCAGGTGTTTCATGTTTGTATGAGTGTCACTAACAAAAATAGTGCATTCTCGCAGTGTTAACCATGCGGAAAAAACATTTTTATTCCTTATGGACTCAGTTTTGATCTTATGCTTTGGAGATTGACAGAAATCTTCCAAACAGTGGAAACAGTAATTTTTAAATGACTGAGGATAATATTTTTAGCCTGTGAACGGTGAAATTAACAAATGCTTGTTTTCATGTTTCAATTTGATGCTTGTAATTCTGGATTAAGTTGGACTAACATTTTAAAAGATCATGTTCTTTTGTCATTTCTGTGCTGCAGTTATATGGTAGTATTGATGTTTGGCAATCTTGACTGTGCTTTTCTATATCCCAGTGTTTTGGCTTCTGTTATACTTAAGCCCTAGACTATTTTGAGGTTTTAGTGCAAATTTATGAAATAGTTCAAACATTTCAGTGTCTGTCTCAATAATGTGTATATTCTATCTTCTCTTAGCTGGAGACTGTACTTACCTTGCTTTTCCAAATTAAAATCTCTTATACAGATAGTAGACTATGCCAAAACAGTGCTGTCCTGGGATTATTTCTCATAGCTTTAATACTTGGATCTGCAGCTAACTGGGGAAACTCGAACTACAGGTTCCCTAGTTTCTGCTCTATGAAAGAAGTTTACGTGGAACAGAGCAGTTAGAGGGATTTACAGTTGCTCAGCATTGCTAGAGTGATCTGTATGTGCTAGCTTTTGTCCTGTTTGGTTATTCAAGATTCATGCTCCTGCTTGCACGTGTCCTCTTTTACCCACTCTTACGTAACTGTACAAATGAAATGTGCTCTCCCTTTGCCACTGATGTGCACCTTCAGTGCAGGAAGGAATCTGCCTCTTTTCCTGTTTTCCTCAGGTTTGAGGTGTACATGGTCTTTTACTCGTTAAAAATTAAGCCTGTTTTGATCTTGCTCTCCTTAATCAGGCTGCTGATGTGTCCACCTGTATGCTAATTATGGTGTATCCAGAGTCTCTTCAGCTGATGTGTGTTGGGGCCATGCCTTTCTTGCAGTGAGCTCAGAAGACAGAGTGGCTGCAGATTCTTTTTGCTAGTCAGGCTGCTGTGTCCCTTCCAGTTTGTAAAGTACTTTTGGGTTGTAGCTTGTTTTGGCTCACGAAGGTAAAGCCACTGTTTGGTTGTCGTTCCTGAACAGAATGTTAATCTCTCCGATCCAGAGGAAATGCCGTTACTCTCAGTACTAGCTCTGAGTACGTGAGCTATTTGACAGACTGCCTGCAAATCTCTGAAGCAAAGGAAGGATGGCTATGAATTTGTTCCTCCCCCTCTTGTAGCAGGTAGAACCGATTTAATGTACACTTTGAATACTTCCTCTGAGTTACTGCAGTGTAACAGTGTCACTGGGAGTACAAAGCAATGCGAAAAAGCAGTGATGCTTCCTGATCCTGTTGGAATCTTGTGCTTTAGGCAAGCAGAAGAGTGGTGGCTGTTGTGACTCTGGTCTTAGGCATGTGTGAAGGTGTGCAGGGACAGGCATGGCTCCAGACAGATACTGTGAATGCAACTGCTCTGAGGTGAAGTGTGCAAGACTTGCACATTAGAGGCAGCTTTTCTAAGAGATATAGTAGTTTTGAAAACTGAAAGAACTTTTATTATGTCTGAAAATACTCACTTTTCAGCCTCTGACAAGCTATGTAATAGAAGAGAAGGTATGGCAAAGCTTTCCGCTACAGTGGATGCAGTCACCTGTCGGACATGCTTTATGTGGGAAAACGATATGATAAAAAGCAGGGATTTTGCATGACAGACTTATTTAATGTCTTAAGGTGTGTTTTTTAGCTGACAACTACTTAGCCTTTTATTTTGTGAATTCCTGCAAATTTTCAGTTTGAAGTGCAGCATTTTTAAGATGTCACTTCTTTTGTATGATCTGTTGGACGTATTCATTGAACTACAGATTGGCAAGCCACAGCTTTGTTTGGTGAGGTCTGAGAATTTGAAGAATGGTAAATCTTGGCTTTTTGAAAGAACACATGGTATTAAGAGTATGGAAAAAACTGTTCATAGTTACAGATGTTCTTCCAAACAGTTAATGCAGCATTAGGAAGGCATCTGCTGCCATTGCCTTTGTAAAATAAACTAGAAGTAGACATGGATCTCAGAAATAAAGAAGATTTTACTTGTTACTGTAACGTGTGTAATTACAAAGCTTTGGGGTCAGTGGTCAAATACTATTTTAAAAAATGCCTCCTGCAAGGTCATCTATTTTTGAATTTAAGTACTCATTTAGGTTGCAGAGCTTTTCGGGCTGTTTCACAGTGTCTTAGTTCCAAGTAACTATGAAATCAAAGGTGTTTAAAAAAATTTTCTGGTGTATGCGAACTGGGGTGTTGTCACAGCTTATATGGTCATCTTCAGAAAGTACTTATTTTAGAAAAAGAAAAGTTTGGGCGTCTGAATTCAGGGCTAGAATGTAGTGAGAGTTAGTATGTACTCTGCGGTGTATGTTAAGGGTTACAGCAAACAAATCCCTTCTAGTGACTGTGAAAGAACAAAGAGATACAAACAGTTGTGTAAAAATGTTACTTATTTGTTGCTGATGGGCAAGTATCTTTTTCCATGGAAAAAACTAGGGAAGTGATTGACAGATTTAAGAATTTAGGTTCAGCTAAAATACCAGCAGATTTTTTTTTTCTCTGCTTGCATATTTACATTCTGCTTGAGATTATAGATGCAGTTTACAATTGCCTTCTTTTGTCCCCTTGAACTTGTATCATATTTGTTGGGGTGAGATGCTGTGTTTTGTAAGGGATGAAGTAGGGAGATAAATTCACCTGTACATTTGCAAGCTATAAGGTAGTATTTTTCAATTCTGCATTTTCAGCATTTGGGGAGCATAATTTTGGCAGCAGGTAGATGGGCAGGACACCAGTATAGGGCTGGGGTGCAACTGAAACATTGGGAGTTCAAAAAACTGTGATCCCTTTGGATATCTTTCGCCCTTATTACCACTTAGACCTGACTTTCTGATGTATATATTACTGAGCATTTGTAATTTGGGCTTAAACTGGGGACAGTTCCAGCTGAATGTGTAATACCTACGTGTGCAGTGTCAGCCACACTGATGTGTGCGGGATGTGGGCTTCTCCTAAGCTTGCTTAATTGGGTACAAGATGTACAGCTGTGGGAACGTGACTTGGTTCCGTGACCTACCCAGAGCCTCTCATACAGCCTGTGCACTCCTGTCATCGGCACTTCTGTCCATGCTTGAGCGAGCTAGATGAAAGTTAATTCAGGAATACGCACTCACATGGAATTGTGACCTTCAGTTGTGATATTTGTGCTGAAAATCCACACTTCTGAGTATGGCTTTTTTCATTGAATTAAAGCCATCTTACTTGACATTAGAAATGCCAGACATGCACCTGCATGCCTATCTAGATGTGGCAAGCAGGTGATTTTATTGGAGAAAACTCTTAAGAATGGGGACTTAAGAACTGTGCAGGGTCTTTTTGAGTAAATACCATCACCTGAAATCCAAATACAAAAATTTGCACTTCCATACTTAACCAGCATTAAAAATGTTGTTAACAAGTGGTTTGTTGATACCAGAGTTTTGAAATACATAGATCCCATCATGGATAAATCTTCTGTAGTCAGAAGTGGGTTTATGTTTTCCTGTACGTGCTTCTGTCTTGTGGGATTGTGTCTGTATGCTCCGGTGCCGATGAGCTGCCTTATGGGAACAGTCACGTTTTGGCTTTCACCAGGTAGTACCGTGTGTGCACAGCAGTGTGATGGAGGCCCCTTGGTGTGGGGTCTAAAAACACCTCAGAAAATCACCAGTGGCTTCCTGCTCTTCAGGAGGGGGAGGAGGGGGAGTCCGAGTGTGCTGTCCTAGAAGAAATAACTGGTTTTGGAGGCTGAAAGCTGAGTGAACTTTGTGGGTAATTATCAAGGGAACAGATAGACATCTTTCCAAATACTAATATCTGTATGTCAAGCAGTTATGTTCTCAGACTGCCATGTGTATTTAAGAGAGTTGAGGTTTGGAAAGTGGAGAAGTACATTGTCAGAGTAGGTGGTGTGGGGGGGAAAAGGTGTATTTCTTCCCTATGAGATTCCCACAAAATAAAGCATGGGAGTTAAGGTCAAAGGTAACTTCTCATACTTAGAATCGAAGTGCAGCATTGTAATCCAGTACTTTTTTAGTTGTCTGTAGGCTTTAATTCTAGTCACTTGATGGGAGTTCATTATTTTCCTGTAGGAAAATACTACAAAGCATAATAAAATTAATAACCTTCATTTTCTTCAGTGTGTTGTGTCAGTGTTGTTTTGGCATGGGTGAGTGATGCACGCTGGTAGTATTAGTTTTAACTTGCATGATGTATAGGAAGAACGTGATTATTATTTTTTTTTTACAGTATTTAAATATCAGGAGTTTTTAAGGACAAAAGCTCTTTTTAAACAGTGTTTTCCCAGTCACTGGTTGGTAGACTGTTCAGATTTACAGTAGTTGCCGACATTTGTAACAGCAAATACAGTTTGGAGTGTTTATGTGTTTGTTACGTTTTTTTAAAATGTGTGTGTCTGTAATATGTTCTGGAAGTGCAATATTGCATTGCTTGTCAAAACTTAAGTTCCTTTTTTAATATTTTCAGCAAAATTCTGATTAATTACCTCTACTAAAAACCCTATTCTGCTCTTTTTGGGCTCTAATGTTTAAGGACTGGAATTAGTGATTGGGATTTAGCTAAATCAAGTTGTCTTTTGAAAAAACAAGCTGACAATATATTGGCACATTTTTATAGCCAGTTAAAGCTCTTTTTCATATATGTGAAAACAAGCTTAGAAGCACTCTACAGCTGTTAATGTGGCTTTATTTCTACAAACTGATTTGACTTGGAAGGTGAGCTGTCTTTGCTCTGCACAGTTCTGCTATCGTGTCTGTAGTTGTATTTCCCAGAACTCTTAAGATTACTTTTTTTATTTGCATAGACATGCGTCAGGGATTCCATTTGCCGTATGCTTACCGCATGTTTTTTGAATTTTGTCACTTTTAGCTTTGAGTTTCAGTTAAAGAGAAGCATAATATCTTTGCATCCAGTTTGAGAGAGCAGCTGTATATCCTGCAGCTTATCTAGGTAGCTTTGATTCCTTCAAGGTGGTGTAAAAGTTGTCATTTTAAGCCTAACAATACAGTACATAAAGAATTCCATCCTGCCTTGCTCACTTAGTTTCTTACAGCTAGACACCACGATTGGGACACAATGTTTCAGTTACACCTCAAAGGGCAGGTAAAGCCTTTACATCCACCCAGCTGCTAGTCCCGTCTAAAGGTATGTTGAGGTTTGCACAGGAGTGCACTGCACACTTAAAAGCTTTTTGTGCAGTATAGACCTCCTTGTTTTTATTGTTAAAAATTTAGTGCCAGCACAGGGAGAAAATGCTGAGTGGAGGATCAGATTAAATACTGTCTCGAGTAGTTCTTGCAATGTCAAGTAATGTTTCAGGCTCAAAAATCACAACACTCTGAACGTGTGATTATTCATGCTGTATATGCTTTATGTAGTTGAGTGGATTAAGAACACACTGGAAATGCTTGGATGCTGTCCTTACCTGAAGTAGTTTGAGAAGAGCAATTAGGCAAGATGTTCTTTGTTTCACAAGTGAGATCTTGAAAGACAGAGGTTTTTAAAAATAAAAGAAAAAACATAATTTGCGTGCTAAAATGATGAACGGGGATATTTCTGGTGAACTCAAGAAAAACAACACAAGATTTCAGAAGAAATAAGACCGAAGAAATAAGACCAAAGAAATAAGTAATTAGTGAAGATGCTAGCGTAATGGTGTGAAGTGATCCAGAGCACACTGTAAAAAGTGTCAGCTGGGCTAAGTAGAAGGCTGTATTTAAAATGGGGACTGTTCTGAGAATAGATGAGCCCAAGCAAGCACTGGCTCCAAAACGGTTCTTAGAATTTTGGGACTGACAGCGCTGAACCAGTGTCGTTAGACCCCACAGGTCAACTTCACATTTGTGTGAACAGATGGAAATCTGAGAAATGAGGTTTTGTCATTGCTATCCAGAATCACCTGTGCAGTTACTGCTGGGATGCATAAAATTTATGTTTTCACTTCAAGAGAGGCAATGGTGACAAAATAATCTTGAAAATGATACAGTTGGAAACACTGGAGAATGTAAGTTCTAGAGAGATTTCATGTGTTTAGTTGTTTAACAGCAGGTGAAGGAATAGTTTGATCTTCACTTAATATTTCTGTGGAGACCAGGAAATGGAGACTAGAAGTCTCATCAGTTTAACAGGCAATTGTGTGTGAAGATCTAATGGCTAGAAAACGGAGCAAGGCCAGCATTGTTTGGGGGAAAATGCTGAGTGCTCCGTGCATTGTGGGCTTTCTGGGATAGCTTGCCAGTGTGCTGCAGAAGATGCCTCAGGATGGCAGTCATTCAGTGAGATACTGGGCTGCTGCCTAACCTTCCTGTCCCAGCAGGACTCAATTCAAAGGATTGGGGGGGGAGGGGGAATCTCTTGTGGACTTGAAGCTTCACATGGTGAGGTTTTACTGGAACCTTACTGATAAACGTGGTCTTAGCTTGAACCTTGGATAACAGCACAATGAGAAGCAAGAGAGGTTGCTGACTTGAATGCTGAAGGGATGGTTTTTTCTCTGTAGTGACCATAAAGGGAGACACTGTTATTTGACCTTGAGTGTCTAGGCTTAATATTATAATGGCTAATTGGATGCCAGGTGAGGAGTTTGAATTTTGGTTATAAACATGGAAGAAATAGCAGGTGGTAGGTCTATCACTAACTTTCCTCTGTGCGAAAACACCCACCAAGCTCCTCTGAAAAGGCAAGTGACTGAAGACCTGAAGGTTATACAGCAAAACTTCCCATAGAAACCAGTTTCAGTGCCACGTGCTGTGAGCAAAAAGCGTATCTGTACGTAAGGAGGGAAGTTCCCCCCCGTTAGATGTTGGTGTAATGAGTCAGGGTCAGCGCATTTGCTGGGAGCCCAGGCTCTGCAGAGCCCCTCCTGGGTGGCAGTTGGGCTTTGGCTTCCTGCCCTGCCCTGGCAGCAGGGACTTCTGTTGTGTTACTTGTAAAGAAAGAAAATACCCCCAAAGGTAGTGGAGGTGATAATAATTTAAACTTTGTTTCAAACTATGTGGGTTTTTATTGCTCTGAATAGATTCCTTTTGCATGTTGCAGTATGTTTTTGTTTTTTTTCCTTTCTCACCTCGTGTCTTTGTTACCTCTGTTCCTAAACTTTGTCTGACATGATCCTGTGCTCCTCTTCTAACTTGTAGCTGATCAGTTAAAGCCATTCCTTGTGTTTTCACAAGAATTTGTCCATCTCGATGGAGAGGAAGTGCTCTCAGCCTGGATACAGGGCTTCACTGTGACAGTTGTGTGATGGTATAATAGTTTCCCTTGTCATCTTTGTAGTATTTTTTGGCTAAATCTTCAGAAGCCCTTCTGCTGCAGTTAAGCTTTCCCATCTTGGTGGTGTTTTTTAAATAGAAACGTACTTCTCTTCCGTTTTCCTGATTACTGGTTTTTAGCTTTATAATCAAGAGAACCTTTCTGCACTTGCTTGCACTAAACCCCCAGGCCATTTCAGTGACTGTTCCTGAAATATTTTTTGTTCTTTATGAATGCAACTTCTGATGGTGTACAGTATGTTTCAGTTTTGATATTGGCAAACTTTTTCACTCTGCAAGTGTGATCCAGTTGTTTGGCTTTGTTGCAATCTTATTACCATAACCGCTTGAAGCGGCATCCCTGTCAGGATGTTCTTAACACGGCTGTGCCAAAATGGCTTTCTCTTTCTCCTTGTCATCATCTTTGTGAAACACCCAAAAGCAATGTCTTTGTTTTTACTATTTTCTTCTCAAAATTAACTGTTTCTTTTTTTAACCTTTCTGATGTGCATGACTTCTTAATCCTTCCCTGTACATCAGCCTCCATAGTACCATTACTTGTTTTTTCTCTGTGAATGACTTCGTTTTGTTTCTTTGTCATAACACAGTACTTAAAAACTGAGTATGCTTCAGATACATCTATCTAGGATGCTTTTCTTCATTATGGCATAACTTCTAAGTATCCAACTCAGTAACACTCCCCATTTTTGGTGCTACACACTGAAAATTCCTGAATAAGCCATCCTGTGTTCTTGCAGCAAGACTGTGTTGACACTACCTTTAACTCTCCCATTCTATACATTCCTGCATATCTGCACTTGTAGAAAGTCTTATTCTTTCTTTCTTGTTTGTAATGTTTCTGGGTCCTTTTATGTTCCTTGTTTTCAGCTACTTCTGATATAAAGTTTTAAGTTTCATTCACGTGCTGCATACCTTTGCTTTTGCATCACTGTTGCTAGGTCTTGCTTTTAGCTTTAAGCAGTTCTTTCTTAATCCTCCAAGTTTGAAAATACTTGTAAGTAAGGAAATTAAATTTTAGTACTGGCAAAACAAATTGAAAAATTATATCTGGAAGCTGTTTCGTAAAAATTACACCTTTCCGTGTTCCTCTCGTTGGTGAGGGATTTTTTGATGCTGTGTGTGTATTAGTGATGGATAATTGCCTGTGTCTCTGCGTGTGTCCCGATTTCTACCTCTCCTCTGTTGTGCTGGATACAGATATTGGTGACAGTAATCTACTTTAGTCTTAGTTCAGAATGTTTCCTTTGTGTATTTCTTAACAAAAACATGAATTAAAAGTTTCTGAAATGCTGGAACAAAAAATAGGAGTTTACCAGACTAGGTTGCACAGCAGTGCCCTGTAAAACAGATGCCTTAAAATGTTCTTCCATTTGAGTCTGAAAACTTCTCTTGATTTTTTTGAGAAAGTAATTAACTACAGTTCATAGGCGACACTTTTTAACAGATGCAAGAATTTTCCTTTTGCTTAGTTCCATTCTTTCATTGCTACTTGAAAATTGAAGTAAATTTCCATTTTACTTGAAAAATGTAGTTCTAACATACTGCTTCCTTTTTTTTTTTTTTTTTTTTTTTTTGGCAGTAATCAGACTTTGGTGGTAGGACAAGGCATCCAGAAAGCAGGTAGAAAACAGTTAAAAAGCAAAGAAGCAGAACTGTTTTCCTTGGAAGTGCTTTCACGAAAGACGTGAACAGTCATAAACAATTAAATACTTGATACAACATAAAATTCAGTGTTCTGCTGAAAGTCACAATCTCTGTGTAATTCAGTCTCATATCTATAGTAGCACTAAATACAGTAATATTAGCTGTTGGGCAAGGAACTTATGAAAGCAAAATGTCGCTTTCTGACAGTAAGTCATTAAAAAAAACCAAGCCACTGGTGTCGCGACAACCAATTTTTATGGGCACCATAGGGCAGAGTTTTCCCCTTAAAAGCTATTGATCTTAAAGGTAGATACAACGTTAGAATTTAATTTTTAACATTTCATAGCTAACATGTTTGAATGCATGCTCATTTCTTAACTTTTTTTTGTTGTTTTAAGTTTAGGAAACCATTTGATAAATATGGCAAATGCATGGGGGAATTTATCTGTTTTGTTCTTACAGTAACAAAACCTTGTAGGGGAGCAGATTTTCTTGCATCAAAAAAAGCTGCAACAGTTGATCAAGATCACAAGTTTAGATGCAAGTTCTTGGACTGTTCAAAATCCTTCCGCAAAGCCAAGCTATTGCATTATCACATGAAATACTTTCATGGAGTGGAAAAGGCTGCAGAATCCCAGCAGAACCCTGTAAAAAGAAATATTCAAACCAGAGCTTCTTTGGCTTCTGAAAAAGCTAATCAAGAAAGGTCAAAAAGAAGACGGACCACAGTTGGTTCATTGTGTAAGTATGTTGCTGATCCCTTCCTTTTTTTAAACAGCAGCAAGCAGGAAAGAGCAGAAATCAACTTCTTTTGGGTTGAAGGAGTCTCTTTAGGACTCAATCTTAGCATGTTTCTTTGTGGAGAAAAAACGTAATATGTGTAAACATGCTTTTGAGAAGATAAAACTAAAGTAATTCCCTCATCTAGAAGTATGGACTGTGTTCTGTAATGACTGGACTACTCAGCTTCTCTCCTTCCTTTGTAACAACTCACTTGAGTATTAAACCTCTGTTGTTTTTTTCAGAGCTACAATTCCCTGAGTTTTTGTTTGGTTTTCTTTCCCCCCTGGCTTGACAAATATCTAAATAGTATTGTTTGAAGACATTTGTACCTTTCTGCTTTAAATAAACAGCCTGAGTAACTCCAGTTCCCTCCTATTTCTTACTTGTTCTTTACATTTCATGGTCTGACTTCAAGAATATATTTAGCTAGAAATCCAGTACCAGTTTCTGCAGTATTTACAGTTCTTATTGCTGGACCTGTGGGGGAAAAAAGTCCTAGTATTTAACTAATGCAATTGGTATAGCTCTGCTTCAAAAGGTCCTCACACAACTGATGGTTACTAGAAAGGGGTAAAAACTTAATGGCTAGGAAAAAAATCTTAAGTTATAACTGCTTTTGCAGTCTTAAGAATCAGGTCAACTTGTGTTTCACAGCCTCATTCTCTGAAGTGCTTTCATCCTAGCATCTTGCATAACGCCAGCGTGGCACTCTAAGCCTGGTTGTGAACTGCAGCGTTGTTGTTGATAACCTATCCAAACTTTGTTCTTGTGGACTGACTTCTCTTTGTACTGCAGGTCCATAAAAATTGTCATCTCTCTTGTCTTCTGATTGAGCCTGTTGTTTAAAATAGAAATATCTGCATTAATATTCTGTTTAATGAAGAATTTACAAGTCCTGTAAGTTGTTCACTGAGCTACAGCTCACTACAATAGAATATATCTGGCTTTACTTTGCTTCATGTCTGCTTTTCCTGATGTGGCCAGCACACATTTTTTTCATTTGAGGTGCTACTGTGTGTTCTTAACAAGAGAAGTGTAACTTAGCATACTGCTGCTGCGTGTGAACTTCTGTACCCCAAATATTTCCGTAACTGTGAATGATGCAAAGGCATAAGATTTGGTTAAGCAGAGGAAGATTTTTGTTCAAATGCATTAGGATGTTCCGACTTGCATGTGTTATGCTTTCCATGCAGCTTAAGTGAAAATGAAGTACCGCCTTGAGAAACCCAACTGAGACGAGCGCATTATGAAGAATAGCTGCTAACAACTGCGCAGTGGTCAAAATAGGCTTCTTGCATGTCATGTGCTTTTCCATAGACTGCTACTCTGCTTTTTGTGACTGCATAATTATCTCAGAAGTTGTTTTCCTGTGATTGTCTTGAATGAACTGACTAGTGACTCAAGACCATGACTCTTTCATTTATCCGTTCCCCCATGTGCACACTGCTGGTTTGATGTTATCTTGGCTGCACGGGCAGGTAATTCTTTACAGTGTTGATTTATAACCATATTTGCTTGTTCTAAGCCCCTACCCCTTTCGTTCATCATTTGTGGATGGATACTTTAACTTGGGTTATTTCGATAGTGTGCTTCCTAGCATATCCCTGCAGATAGACCCTGGGTTATGTCGACAGCTATTGAACGGGGATCAAGGTGGAAGGTGGACTGTAAAGTTTTCAAGTTGTCTTCACTGTCAAACCCTCCTGTTGTAGAACTACAGTAAGGTTTTTTTTGATGAAGAAAAGTAATGTCATTATTTATCAGCTATATCATATGTTTGATATTAAGTGCCATTTGGTTTTTAACTCAATGTGTTCTTACTACTTTTGATTTTTGTTGTGGGGGTACCCCACGTTCTAAAGTAGAGATGGTGGGGTTTATGAGCTCATACTGTTGAATTTTGTATTCTGTTGTCCTGTCTTTTTGCAAGTGTCTCTTCTGTTCTTAGTGGCATGTATAGGAAGACAGCCTGCTAAGCAAGACTTTCTCACTGTCTACTGAACAGTTTTACATCACCTTTTAAAAGGCTTTTCAGGATGTACTGTTAGTGAGAGTGAAGGCTTTCGAATACATAATGAAGTATGGTACATACTTTCCATCTTTACAATGAGCAAAAATTCTCCTGTTGAAAGTGAATATATTTAAACCATTTTACCTTTTGGTACAAATGTCCTTTTCTTATACTTCTCTATATTAGATAGGTTTTAGTGTTTAAGAAAAGGTGGCAATTTCTAACATAAGACCGTAGAAATCATGAGTCTTGTTATTCTGTAAGCTTGGAGATACTCTTGCTTTAGAAGCTTTATCACACTTAAATCCTTATCGTACAAGTTTTATTTTGGAGCTCTGGGGCTCCTTACTGTTTCTGCTACACATTAAATGATAAATAAATGGTGGGATGGACTGTTGGCTAGATTTAAACTGAAAAGACTTATTAGTCCTAAAGTTCTAGGAAATTATGCAATATTGAGAATAGTAGGAAAACTTTTTCCTTGTTGTTGTGGTTTAACTCCAGCTGGCAACTTAGCCCCACGCAGCCACTCGCTCACTCTGCCCTGGTGGGATGGGGGAGAGAATCAGAAGAGTAAAAGTGAGAAAACTCGTGGGTTGAGGTAAAGACAGTTTAATAGGTAAAGCAGAAGCTGCGCGTGCACTCCTTCCCATCACAGGCAGGTGTTCAGCCATCCCCAGGACAGCAGGGCTCCATCACACAGAACAGTGACTTGGGAAGGCAAACGCCATCACTCTGAATGTCCCCCCCCTCCTTCCTTTTTCTTCCTCCAGCTTTACATGCCGAGCATGATGCCATACAGTGTGGAATATCCCTTTGGTCGGGGGGGTCTGCTGTCCCGGCTGTGTCCCCTCCCAGCTCCTTGTGCCCCCCCAGCCTGCTCGCTGGTGGGGTGAGGAGCAGCAAAGGCCTCGATGCTGTGTGAGCACGGCTCAGCAGTAACTAAAACATCCCCGTGTTATCAGCACTGTTTTCAGCACAAATCCAAACCACAGCCCCAGAGGAGCTGCTGTAAAGAAAATTACCTCTGTCTCAGACAAAACCTGCACACTTCTAGTGCTTAAAATTTAGAATTTTGACACAAAATAGAAGATGGATATAAGTGGTCTTCAGTGACCATGTTGTGGGATGCAGGAAAGAATAATTTAAATATGATTACTTTGCAGTGGAGTGGAGACTCTGAAATTTCACTTGGCATTGGCTTCAAAACTTGCGTGAGCTGGAAAGGTTAATGTGGAACTGATCTGTCCTGCTCTTTTTCCTAAAAAGGATGTTACCTTTGCAGTGGCAAATTTGACAGATGTCTCTCTAAATTATGTAGTGGCTCTTCTTTGAACAGAGGGGAAGGAACTACCATTGCCTGGCGTGTATTTTAGATATGCCTTGTTGCTCTGAGCAGAATGATACAGACTGAAATAGCTACTGGATGCATTCAGGCAATACCTCTTTTCTTTATCAGGAAATATTACGAGATCATTATGATGTAACAACTCTTCCCCCAGCCCCTTGTTATAACACGTACCTCCACGAGTACTGCTGTTATTTGGTCTTTACTGAAATCAATGTGCATATAGAGAATAAGGCAGTTGATTTTGTGCCCCCCCGGCATATATGAGATGCAGGTGTTTCTGCCCTCAGCTCTTAACATTGTGTTGCACCTCTGCAGCTGTATTATAAAGCCACCTGCAGCCACTCTGTTAAAAGAGGAGAATCAAGACCTGCACAAATATATCTGGATGCATAAGCTTAAAACAAGCTTTCTGAGCATAGGCTGCAGATGGCTTCTCGAAGTCTATCTTGCAGGAAGGAACTGGTTAAGTTTTTGGCAGTTCAAATTGAGATGTTCCATCAAATTTTTCACTTGGAAATAGAATGTAGTGTAGTATATGTTTAAAATTGTTGTCAGCTAGTTACTTGTTGATTGCTGTAATAAAAAAAGGAGAAGAACCACATTCTACCTTCATACACATGAACCTTCAGACAGGCTTATTCTTTGTGGTCCCTTTACTTTCTCTGCACAGTCACTTAGTTTACTGTAGAAGTATGTCATCCCGTACTGTGACTTGTGCTCCACAAACAACTTCCTCTGAAGGTGCCAGTTTTCTCTTTCAGATATGTCCATCTGTCCATGTTGTTTTATGTGAAGTGCCTGCAAAAGGCTATATTTAATAAAGCTAGTTGCTGACCTAGGTCACTCCAAGGAGGCATGGAATAGCTTCATTTCATTCTTTGTACCTGCAACTCATAATTTGAACATTTGAAGTGTCTTTTTCTTGAGCTTGAGTCTTTCTGAATTGGTGGCTTTCATTCCTTAGTAAAATCTTTTCAATTGGAGGTTCATCAAAATTTAGTTCATGCCCTTGAGTTGAACAATTTTTCTGAAATCTGCAAGTCAACTTTTGCCAGACATCAGTGCTTGCACAGCTGATGCACCTCACAGCAGACCTTGGGGAGGCTCAATACTTGATACGTACTGAAGATTTGTCATGAAATCCTAACCTCATTAGATGTGACCAAATAGGGAAGTTGATATGTGTGTGCAAGCAAATGCCATCAAAACCTTCATTGAGGTGGCTGGTGTACTCATAGTGCTCTTAGTAACCACTCAGTAGTGCTGACCAACTTGAAACTGCCCTCAGCACAGCTGTTGGACAGGCAGGGACTTTATCAGTTGATACGCTTTATGCTCCCAGGACATGATTCAGTTTCCCTAAGGAGTCTTGCTCTAGTGAAAGTTAAACCTGGTTTTGAGACTTTAAAAGCGCTGTGCAGTATCGGGCTGCGGTTTTGTTATGTGGGTATATAGTGGCAGCCTGAGCCTGCCAAGTTACTGCCAGTCTTGACTCTGCTGTTCTCCTTGCCATGAAGAAAAGAAAGCAATGGACCTGTAATTTGTCGTTCAGAGACGGCAGAAAATCTGTCCCTACTGATGAGTCTGTGAAAGGTA